TGAGACAAAGTATATATGAACTGCTGTATGAAAAGTGAATTTACTCTGTAAATCTTCACCCAAATCAAAATAAAATTTAAAAAAATAAAAAAATAAACTCCTGTTTGTTAAGGCCATCCCATTTGTGGTATATTCTTAACAGAGTGGCACTAGGTAACCAGAACACTCACCTACCACTGGAAGACATGAGTTTGATTCCCAGGCAATGGACTTCACAAGGAGCTACCACCTGTCCATCAGCGGAGGCTTGCATGTTACTATGATTGAACAGGTTTTAGTGGAGCTTCCAGAATAAGATGGACTAGGAAGAAAGGCCTGGTGATCTATTTGTGAAAATCAGCCAGTGGAAACCCTACAGATCACAATGGCCCAATTCCATTGTGCATGGGATTGCCATGAGTCAGGGACAGGTAATGACAATTTTGGTTATACTTGCATATGTTCTCTAGAAACCTAGAATTATACTGCATCAACATGAGAGCAAATTCAAGAGGAAGAGCCTACAAAGGAGAATAAAATCTAAAGAGAACAAGGAGTAGGAAAGATGCTTCTCAGAGGTTCTCTAGAGGAATGGGCCCCTTCTTCAGGGACTGGCCACTGGATGGATCCACTGGGTGGCAAATGGTGTATATCCCAGAGTACTCATCTCCTTGATGTTCCATGACGCAAAAAGAGAAGGAAACCCTATTACTAGGACAAAAACAGAAACACATTTTCTACATTACCCACTTTGGAAGCTGTTCCTTAATGCTGGACTACTCAGAGGGAAACATTTTCCAGGGTTTTAAGCCAACATTTCATTTCCTGCTCAAAGTGCAAACAATGTCTGTTCACTCGTCAGTCCCCAGGCAGATGATGGGATACCCAGTGGGTTAGTGACATTCTAGAAATTAAAAGCACTGAGGCAGGGCATATTCTAATTTTAGGGATGAAATAAGGACACTTTTCACATCCCTGATCCAAATGTTTAAAGATACATTTCACTCCTTTATGGAGACATGCTGAGCAAGTTGATTCTCAGGATGTTTAGTAATAATAATCATTAGCCTTTCATGGGGTATGGTAATACTCTAGTTCCTTGTTATTTTCTAGAACAGTGGTCAAGAAACTATGCTTATTTTGGTAAAAAAAAAAAAAAAAAAGTTGGAACACAGCCATCCCCCTTTGTTTATGTATTCTCAAGTCAGAGTTGAGTAGCTTCAGTGGAGAATGTAAAACTCACAAGGTCTAAAATATTTTCTGTCTGGCTCTCTAGGGGAAAAACATATATATATATATATATATATATATATATATATATATATATATATATATATATATATATTGGTCACCTTTCCTCTAGATGGTCAATGTAAGTTTGAGAAATCCTATGGCATGTGTCTAAGCCTATTCAATAATACCAGTATCAATGATGATGATGATGATGATAAAAACAAAGAATAGCTATTCTTTCTTGAGTATTTACTATGTCCCAGGCAGCTACTAAGAACTTTGCATGTATATGTAATTTAATCACCAACATTCTAAGAAGGAAGTGTTATCATTCTTATTATACAGATAAGAAAACCTAGACTCAAAAAGGTTAATCACTTGCACAAGGGCAATAGGTAATAAACAGTGGAGCTGGGATTCACACCCAGGTTCTCTGAGTCCCACATTTACCCCTATAACCCAGTACTCCACTGCCTGCATCTGTGGATGTCTATGCCCTCTAGGGACAGAGAAGTTCTGCAGACACACAGACTGTGAGTACAGACAACCAAATATCACAAACATGAAATGGCCCTAGTGACAAAGGATGGTTCAGACTCATCAGTGCTATGGTTGGGTACTTTTGAGGTCCAAGTAAGAGTCCCTATGGGGACAACATCTCCCACTCCTGGGCCTATGGTTGGCCCACAGCCCAGAACAACATGCTCCTGTCATATTGGCCTCAAGGCCAGCAGGTTGTATGCAGTCAAGGAGGGCGTGTATGCCTCAGGAGGGCTATCTGATTCTTGTTTGTGTCAATCATGTCCAAAGAATCCTTTAACATAGCTTTACATGAGAACCCAATCATTGCTGGAGGAGGACAACTGGTAGTAGTAAAGCGCTTTCTCTTCTGTCCCATGTCAATCTGCATGTTCCACACAGCAACACAGAACTGCAGGTCAGGGACCTATCCAAAGTCTGTCCCTGGATCCCATGTGAGGTATCTGAGAATTTCTTCTAAATTCACTCACCATTCCATCATTCTCCCTATGTTATATATTACTCCTTTTATACAATATCCTTCTGTAATTATTGATATCTGTTGCTCCCACATAGTGGCTCCTGGGCCTCCTTGAGTAGCCCACTCCTCAGCTGGCTTTATTCCTAAGATGGTCAATGATTTTTGCTCACAGAAGACACAGTATGAAGAGCCCAAGTAGGATGGAGAGCAGCCTTGAGACAGAGTGAGCCCAGGACCTCCAGAAAATCACCAGTGTCTTCCACACACAGCACCTGTTTTCTCTAGCTGCACCCCAGAACCCCCTTAAATTCTACAGCTCTTGACCTCCAAAGCCAAAGGAGGTTATTTTTTTATTTGGAGGAAAATTCAATGACCTTCAGGCAAGGTCCCTTGATTGCATCTGACAGTGATACCAGATTAGCACCATCTTCTAGAATGGAGTGAGCCTTTTCCCTTCCTATTATTGCTCTCAGCTAGCCCTTTCCCTGTTGAGCACATGCCTCAGAGTTTTACCTTCACTGCCACAAGCATCTTGTCCTTGGTGGGGCTGAGGTTGTAGCATTCGGCCAGGAAGACCTTCCCAAAGGCTCCCTCACCCAGTTCTCGCTTCAGTACGATGTCCCTCCTCTTAATGTGCTGCACATCTGTGGGAGGGAACAGAGGGGAGAGCAACACAGTCAGTCTCAGGTGCTTATCCTCACTTGGAGGCAGAGGGAGTGCAGGCATCTAGGCAGCCCTGGTTCCCAGTCCCCACACAGCAGAGAACTTGACCATAAAAACTGGCAGTGGACTGTGGTTGGAAAGTCTCACCTTGAATCAAATCTCAGCTCTGGCCCTGACTAACCCTTAACTTCTTTAAACCACAGTTTCCTCAGCTAGAAAATAGAACTGATGCTAGATAACACAAAGATACTCGTATTCAATTGCTATAATTCCTGGAGACAGTATAGGCGAGTCTCAACACATAATGTGCATAGGAGTCCCCAAGGGAATCTTCTTAAAATGCAGTTTCTAAGTCAGTGGATCTGGGGGTAGGGCCTAAGCATCCCTATTTCTATTAAACTCCTAGGTGATGCTGATGCTGTGGGTCTATGCACTGCACTTGGAACAGAAAGGTCTCTAGGGTATGGTCAGGAATCAGGTTTGAATCCTGGCTCCCACAACGCTTTTTATATTTTGAAGCTTGGGAAAGTTATTTAACTTCAGACCCTCTACTTCCTCATCTGTAAAATGGGATTAACCTCAATACTTTTCTCACTGAATCTTTTGAAGATTAAATGAGATAATCCATTTCAATAGCTTGGCCAATGTTCTTGGCAAAAAGTAAATACATGCATATACACTAGCTCTTACTATTACACAATGGATGTAGCACACCTAACGCAGTGCCTGGTCCATGACAGGGACCACCAAGTGGTGGCTGAAACTATTTGGAGGAAGCTTCTGTTTGAAAAACCTCTTCCCTCTGAGACAAAGAGAAGAGAAAAAAAAGACCAATGAGATCATGGCAAGGAAGGTTCAGAGACCACCCCAGAGCAAGGCCTATGCAAAGAAAAGACTGTCCTTGACTCTGCTATTTTAGCAAACTAATTAAAGTCTGTCTGCCAGAAGCAAGCAGAGATGTGACCTCAGCCCTCCCATTTATTTGGAAAGAATGTTTCGAAGGAATCATACAAGCAGGGAGCTGGTGATGAAAGGTGCATGCCTAGGGATTACTCACTGACCTTTACGTTAATTGTACAATAGGCCGAAGCCCATTAAATACCTGTATGGACATTATGCCGGTGGTTCAAACCCACCAGCCACTTCTCGGAAGGAAGGTTGGGCAATCCTACTTCCGTAGTGATACTGCCTCGGAAACCCAAGGAGGGGTCGCTATGAGTCGGGGCCGACTCGATGGCACATAACAACAACAACAACAATGGACATTATGAAGAGTGTTGCATACCCAAGGAAAAGGATTGTCTCAAAAGACTTTATCAAAAACGAAAGCTAAAGGCTGAGGGCCATGAGGGAGACATGTGATCATGTCATGGGAACAGATGAGTGTGGCTGGAAGGTTGTGTTAGGGAGATGGTGGATTTAAGGATTCCTTTCATAAGTTTGTGTGCCATCTAGTTAATTCCAACTCTGTGACAATATACAACAGAGTAGAACTGCCCCATAGGGTTTCCTAGGCTATAATCTTTATGGGAGCAGATCGGCAGATCTATTCTCCCATCAAGCCTCTGGTAAGTTTGCAATACCCACCTTTTGGTTAGCAGCCGAGTACTTAACCATTGTGCCACCAGGGCTCCTTCCTTCACAATAGACCACATAAATCTTTTTTTCTTTTTCTTTTTCCTATCAGAGTTCTTGGTGTTCCCACAGTTTCCCAGATGACCTACCCAGCAAGAATCCGAAGGAGGAAGCATTTACAGGCCATTATTTAGCCTCTCCTTCTCAGCAAGACAGACCCTCAGGCTCACAGCTGCTGGCAGCCGGTCCTCACAAGGCACAGGGCCATGTCCCAGTCTTTACAAGAGGGTGATTAAAAATCAGTTTCCTTCTTTGCATCCTCTGTTTCCATTTCCCAGCCTGAGGAGTGGAATTTATTTGCCTTGAAGGAGAAGGCTAAGGTGTCTCCCACTGATAGAAAATGGGAGATCAGGACCTCTCATGGGAGGCCATCTGCTCACTGCTGCATAATCATTCCCAGGTGACTGTTCATGATGCACAGGTTCTGTGAGGTAAGCATCCTGGCAAGGCCTGGGGGTGGAGATGGTGCTGGAGATGGCTGCCTTATAGCTGCCAAGCCCAGGCATCTGAGCAAGCAAATACTGGTAAAGGCCAGAAAGTCAGGAGCGCTTGGTCAATACCTGGATCCCCCAAGCACTATAGCCTTGTGCACCTCATCTGTAAAACAGAAGTTGGAGCATAACACAAGCTTTACTTACCTATTACCTGAGACATTGTATGTGAAGTCTGTAAACAGGTAATTCCTCTGAAATGTCAATCATATTTGGTGTTTTCATCATTGTTGATATTATTGTATAAGAACAGGAATCAATGGCCAAGTTGGGAGTCCCAGACTGGTAGTTGTGATAGGAATGGAACCCACAGCTTAAGCACGTGCCAGAGTAGCCAAGGAGGGCAGGCAAAGAACCACTTTAGGAAGAGTCCCCTTCAACCAAAGCCCCTGCCTCAACCCCACCCTTACTCTTCATTGGAATAGAACAGTGGTTCTTACACTTGAGTGTGCATCAGAATTAGCTGGAGGGTTTTTTATAGCAAGCTTCCCCACCCCACCCCCTGAGATTCTGATTCAGTAGGTCCAAGTTGGAGCCTGGGAAGGTACATTTCTAACAAGTTCCCAGGTGATGCTGATGTTGCTGGTCCAGGATTACACTTTGAGAACCATCAGAATAGGACTACAGTTGTGGGCAAGGAATCAGGCAGCTGAAGATAGATGTTTACCTTTACAGTTTGGTCTCAACAAGTAACAGTGCCCACAAATATTTTAGTCATGTCACATCTCTAGAAAACCAGGAGGAGATTAGGAGTCCTGGACATAGCTCCAAGTAGCTCCCCTCCCAGCTGTGTGACCTAGGTTGGGTTAAGTCCCCTTTTAGAACCTCAATTACCGATATAAACCAATTCAAACCAGTTCTGTTGAGTTGATTCTGACTCCTGGTGACTCCATGTGTATCAGAGTAGAACTATGCTCCATAAGGTTTTCGAGGGCTCATTTTTTGGAAGTAGATCTCCAGGCCTTTCTTCTGACGTGCCTCTGGGTAGATGTAAACCCCAAACCTTTTAGATAGCAGCCAAGCATGCTAACCATTTGTGCCACTTAGGGGGCTCCTGATAAACATCATACTCTTTTGAATTCTTATGTAGAAATGCACTGAATACATCTATACAAAGACAAAGCAATATTAGATATCCTCCTGGGTCCTTAAGTCCAACTCTAGGCTGGGTGACTTCACCAGTTCCCTTCAGAACTTCACTCTCTCAGCTTCACTAAGTGCAAAATGAGACTAGATGTGCTTCACAAGAGCTGGGCTCTGTTTTTCAGCTGTTGGGCCTGGGTCACATCTTGAAACCCTCCCTTCCCCTCTCCTCCCTCAGCAGCAAGGATGATAGGCCCTGATGGGAACAACCTGGGGAACAAGTGGGAGCAACAATGGGGAGACCTTTCCCAACCCTCTGTCAACATCATGAGAGCTAGGAGCCTAGCAGCAGCTGCAGAGCCCAAGTTTCAGAGGGAAGCTTTGGCAGCTGTGGGCCTTGAACTTGGTGGGGGGAAAATGACCACAGTACTGAGAGTTTGTCTGCTCCTTGCAAGCACATGAAAAGGGCCTTGCAGAAGTTTCCCATCAGCCATAGTGTTTTCCCAAAAACCTACAAACAATTTTTTTTTTTCCCCAGAGATGTGGAAATACCCAGGGACTCAAAATAAAACATTCCTGGCTCATTCTAGTTGCCTTCAGGATGAAGGTACTTGGAGACCAATACCAGTTCATGATTCTAACTCATGGTGACTTCATGTGTATCTGAGTAGAACTCTACTTCATAGGGTTTTCAATGGATGACTTTTCATGAGTAGATTACCAAGCCTTCTACCAAGGCACCTCTGGGTGGACTCAAACTTCCAACCTTTTGGTTACCAGCTGAGCACATTAATCATTTGCACCACCCAGAGACTAGAGACCAATATCTATGCTTAATCTATTGAAGTGTTGGTGAAAGCTGGAAGAGGCAGATGAGGAATGCAAAATAAAAATAAGCTCCAGACCACCATAAACTCTCTTGTAGGACAGAGCTTCTTCCAAGGCATGGGAATAAGAAGGAGCCCCACAAGTTCCCAGGGATGTTTGGTAAGGAATGGCTGTTTTGGGGCCAAATGCATATAGCAAATCACTTCAATGTGGATGACTTCCATGTACCAACAAGTCTAGACTCCAAAACACCACTTAAGCAGCTTCTTTTCCTGAACCCACATAGGAAGAACAAAAGTAATTAATTTGTGCCCCAAACCAACCATTTGCTCAATATTTGATTCTCATAATAACCTTGGGAGATAAGTGTTATTGTGCCCTATTCACAGATGAGAAAACTGAGGCATAGGTAGCTCTCACAAATTTACACAGCTAAGAAGTGGCCAAGGAAGAACTCTCTCTGCTTTTCATGGTTCCCAAACTGTGTTCTTTCCATTACACTAGGCTGCCTTTAATCTGTCCTCCCCTACTTTATTACCACCAAGATGATCTGGTCCACACAGATGCCTCCCTCCATCCTCCCCATTCTCCTAACCCTGCCTGACTATCTCTTATCCTGTTCATTACTCTACCAGAGCATCTCCCCAAGGGAAAGGAGTTTCCTACTGGAGACCATCAGAGCAGAGAAAACCCTGGGGAAGACTCTGGGAGGATCAGGTCCTACTCAGGGCCTAGGGAATGAATGGAGTGAGATGGTTCCATTTCTGACATCCATTTGCCTATTTGGATCCCTATTTGTGCTTATTTTTAGCTCACATAGTGCTGTTCAGGGCTGCCTCTGGTGAAGCCATCTGACCAACAAGCTAAAGAATGATGGATTTTCCTAGGAGGAGAGGGCATCAATCTCCTTTTACTGCCTGGCTGGCTGGCCCAGCAGAGTCTGG